CATTCCACATCTTTATTGTAGCTTTCTTTCTGGTCAAACGCACAACATTTTAGATCATTCTGCTGGGCTCTTTTCTCTCCATGCTCAACATAAATGTGACTAAAAGCCCCCAACAACAGTCATGCCAGTGCCCTAATATTTGACTATTTTGAGATTTCCTTTGAAAGATTAGTCAGTCCTCCATGTCTAATGTCAGTCTCATGAAAAGTCTCTGGACACGGGCAAAATTTAGACAAACCTTTTGCCAAGCCAAAACACAAATGATCTGGAGTCCAACAGCTAATGCAGTCCTTCTTCCCAGCAGAAACCTCCCCAGCTTGGTCTCTGCAGGCAGGTTTTCTATCAGCCTTCTGGTCTGAGCTCTGACCAGAATCTTCTCTATACAACAACTGAAGCTGTTCCAGCTCTTCGCTTGTAGGTGACATCTCCAAAGGTTTCCTATCTCTTCCCATAAGCTATTTCAAAAAGCTTGTAATCCACATTGTCAGGTATAGCCACAGCAATGATCCCACTCCTGGTACCAAATTCTCTATTAGTTACTCTTCTCTTATTGCTGGGACAAATACCCAACACTCAAAATGCAGGAAAGGAAGGTTTATTTAGCTCACAGTTACTGGAGGTTTCAAGACACTGGAGGAGAGGCTGGGGCACTGCCGTGTCCAGGACAACCCTCTCCACCTCTCTCCATGAGAGGCCACCAGGCCTGGGGGGGGGGTTACAGAGGTGCATACTGTCATCTTAAGGGTTCGCGATAAGCACATATTTCTATAAGACACATCTTAAGCTGACTATGCATACAGGAGACTGTTAGGGAGGGAGTTTGTTTCAGTTTGATGCCCTTACAAGAAACAGTTATTCACTGCTAAACAGCCTTGTGCAGAGAGGAAGAACACATTCTTTAGAGTAGATAATAGGAAGCACAGGTTTCTCCTAGTAATTTCACACAATTACAGCACAAAATTTAGTTAACCCATTACACAATCAAGAAATCATTCAAAGTTCAATATCTTGAGGCTTTCCCTCTATGTTTTCTTCTAGGAGGAGGTTTTTTTTTTTTTTTTTAATAAAGTCCTTGTTTTATTTCTAATTTTTTAATTTTTTTGATGAACTAGGGATTAACCCCAGGCCCTTGCACTTGCCAGGGAAACACTTATTCCACTGAGCCATCTCCCTGGCCCTAGGAGGAGGCTTTAAAAAAAAAAAAAAAATTAAGTGTATTGGTACATTTCAAGTGTATGTAATGATCACATTCATCACAGGGAATTTGTACCTGTACATGATACAACTGATTCTTTTTTTTCCTCCACTGTCCTGCTAACCCTTCAACCTTTCTTGTCCTTAGAAGAGTTTGTCAAGATTAAAATTAATTTTTTTGTGTGGTGCTGAGGATGTTTCTCTTGCTTTTTTCCAGGGTGTTTTATAGTTTCAGGTCCTATATTACCTTTAATTTGTTGTGAGCAAATAACTTTTTGTATAGAGTGTAAAACAAGGGTCCCAATTCATTCTTTTGGATGTGGATGCCCAATTCTCCCAACATTTTGTGTGGAGAGTTCTGCCCTCCTTGAGTGGTTTTTGCATCTTTGTCAAAGTAATTTGATGCCAGATCCTTTAAAAAAAAGACTGAAAGGCAGTTTTAGATTCACAGCAAAATTACAGTATATACCCCCTCTTTATCCACATGAAAAATTTTTTTTAAGTTTCATGTAAAGATTTAGATTAATTTTTTTAGACAGGGTCTTGGCTGCCCTGTACCCATTATATTGCCCAGGCTAGCCTGGAACTCGCGGCAACGCTACCTCAGCCTTCAAAGTGCTGGGATTTTAGGTGTGAAGCCACCATACCTTGCATGATTTAGATTACTTTTAAATGATTTTTTTCAAACATAAGCACTTAAAGCTACAAATTTTTCCTCTAGTCACCTACTTCAGCTATGTGGATATATTATCACCTAATATTATCCTTCAGTTCCAACTATTTTTAAAACACCACCGATGCCCGGCACGGTGGCACATCCGTAATCCCAGCACTAGGGAGGCTGAGGCATGAGGAAAATTTTGAGTTCAAGGCCAGCTTGGGCCACAAAAGTGAGTTAGCGAAACCCAGACTCAAAAGAACAAAACAAAACAGGCCACTGATGTCTTCTTTACACAGAGGTTTGGAATTATGCTGGTTTTAGGTATTTCTGGAACTTTTAAATTTGATACTTGCTTGGTAGCCTTGCTTCCCAGCCCTAATTTTGTTTTACCATGGGGATGATTATAGTGCATTTTTCTTTCTTCTTAAACTATAAATACAATGCGCTGTGATTTACTTTCTAATGTCCTAAACAGTATTTCATTCATCTGGAGATCCTCTAGGCTCACGTACAATTAACAACAGCGAAGAGAAGCTACTCCCTCTCCTTCCCGGAAGGGCTGGGAGGGAACGGTGGATTTTTAAGTACTCCGAGGTGGATCGGTCACAAGCTCTCCCCACGCTTTAGGAAGCAACTCTTCTCTTCTTAGGGCTGGGAAGCTAACACGCTGGGACTGGACTTAGCTCTGCAAAGGTGGAAGACGTCTGCAGTCCGGCCTAGGAGCAGTCTCTGCGAGACCTGAGGAAGCGGGGTCTCGGCTAAACGCTCCCCTTTGCCTTGGGAACACGGTCTCCCAGAGACGAACGCTTCCGCACAAACCCTTCCTCCTTCTCAACCACTCCAACCCCAGCAGGAACTAGGCGGGTCCGGGGACCAGCTGGCACACTGCGGGTCACGTGACGCGGGCGTGGTGTGGCGGAGCCTGGGAACTACCCTCTCCCAGGCCCCGCCCACCGAGCGCTATTTGCGGTGGCTCCGCCCATCCACCGAGGGGAGGAGCGCGAGACCCCTCCCCCAAATGGCCTTTCCTGGAGGGACAGGCCGGCCAGTAGGCAGCAGGGCGGGGCGAGAGGTCGGCCGAAGGACTGGCGGAGGGGGAGGGGAGAGAGGAAGGTGTGGTCACGTGCGCCGGCGCCCGGATCACGTGGTGGAGCGCCGGGGTGGAGGGACGCGGGTCGCGAGTTTTCCTAAGGGAAGAGTGAGGCGGGGGGACTTGGAGGCGGCGGCGGCGCTGACAATGGTGAGTGCGCGGGGCCTGCGCGCGTGTCTTCCGCCTCGCGGCCGAGCGCGTGGCCCGCCGGCCAACGGCGAGTGCGGCGCAGCTGGTGGAGGGGCGGGCGAGCGGGCAGGCAGCGGGTTAGGCCCGTCGGGCTCCCGGCTTCGGGGTTGCGGGCGTCGCCGCCTCTTCCCGGTCTCGGCTAGGCCCGCGCACCTGCAGGCCATGTTCCTCGCGCGGCTCTGGGGGCCCTGGCCTCTCCCTCTGCGGGGGCTCGAAGTCGCGTTCCCTCCCAGGGTGCCGTCCGCGCTCCTCGGAGAGCCTCGCCTCCACACTGGCGGGGTGACCCCGAGTCTCTAGTTCCGGACTCCGGGGAGACTTGGACCCTACCGGTGTCACGAGCTTCATGGAGCTCCGCTTATTAAAAGCCTAGATAGCGAGACATTCTGCGATTTCATGACTCTGATTCAGGGTTGCATGTTGACACTTGTAGAATGGAAGAGCGGAAGAGCAAAGGGTGTCGGAACGGGACCGCCGCTGACACACCACGTTGGTGCCCGGCTATTCACTCCTAGGTTTTCGGTTCCCTCCGAGCCATTGCTGTAACTTAGAGCTCTGGGTGTTGAAACGGCCTAGGAAGCGGCAGGGAGGGCAATCCGAGTACTCTAACCGCAGTTGGAGGTGCGCGCCGGCGTAGGCTGGGCGGCGGGTGGCTGTGAGAGCCTCCCTCGTTAGAGTTGATCTCATTTGGATCATTTTATGGCAGTGTTCGTTTATTCACTGTCCGTGCATACCCAAGCACCTACTGTGTGCTTTCTCTCACTTCCTCCTTTCCCAATGCTTACGATTCTGAACTGCTTGAGACTTTTAGGTAAAGGCTAAGCAGGGTCTTTCCTTTTTTCTTTTTAAACGTTGCTTGAAATAAAGACATTTTTTAAAATAAATACTTCTATAGAAATACTGTTGCCTTTATTTTTTTAAAGATACGTTCATTTTTGAAGTCTTTTTTTCTTTAACTAATAGTTAGGTGTTCCCAGGGTTTATAAGCAAAACTCCTTGCTATGTTACAGCTTAGAGTGCAGGAGGAGATAATCACTAATTTGCTTAGTTGTTTAACATGAAAAGCAGAGATATGATAAATACTGAGAATTACTGGGGCCGTGCTTAGGGAGTTAGGAAACTGCCTTTAGTTGAATATAACTTGTGAAGAAAACTTTAAAGCCCCATCATGCGTGATTAGTACTTTTACTCAGCTTTCACAGTTACACTGGAGAGAAATTTATTTTCTTGTTACTCTTTTTTTTTCCTTTGGTGGAACCAGGGATTGAACTCAGGCCCTTGCACTTGCCAGGGAAGCGCTTATTCCACTGAGCCATCTCCCCGGCCCCTTTCTTGTTACTCTTAAAACATAGTCGAAATTGTAAAGTTTGAAAACATTGAAAGGGGTACACATAATGTGTAGGAAAACTTGCTGTTTCATAGTGTGCAGTTTCAGCGAATAAATTGATAGCTTTGCTACCAGCTCACTTTGAGATTTTTTTTTTTTTTGGTCCAGCGACTTTGTGAAATTTCTTTGATAAGGACTAGAAAATTTATCGTTCTATGTATTCACATAGAGTTTTGCTAGATGGTAATGCTTAATATAGGGTTTACAAACTACATGAAAAAATCTTGCATATTAACCCAGTGTCAGTGATAGGAGGGATAGGCCAGTGTTAGAACACTGTAAAAATAGTTGTTTGGGCAAGTTTTGAGCTTGAGTTGGAGCATGAAAACTAACAAGGAATGAGGAGTGCATGAAAGCTATTATGGATGCTTTTCTTTTTTATCTAAATTAGTTTAGCCTAGTTTTCTGGTTAAGATTTGAGTGTTATTTGTAATGTTGCCAGGAATAATTAAAACTGTGTCAAAAAGGAAATTAGCTGTTTGTGTCTATGGAACATCAAAACTAATAATCAGGCAATTCTTGCAGTTGGTTTATTGAAATTATAATCCCGTTTGTTAATATAGGAGTAATGAAAACAAGCCAGCCCGGAATTTGGGGAAACACCGTCACCCTTTTGTTTTGAGACAGGGTCTTTCTATGTTGATCAGGTTGGTCTTAAACTCACTAGCCCAGGCTGGCCTCGAACTTGTTGTGATCCTCCTGCTTCAGCCTCCCCAGTACAAGGATTACAGGTATGCGTCATCATACCCGTCTTCTTTGGCCATGGTATCACCTGTGATTTGTGCAACTTTAAGAGGCTCACTCGCATGCTCCATATTACCTGGTCAACTGAGAACAGGTTTATATAGCCTTGATTTCTTTTTTTTTTTTGTATGTTTTATTTTATTAAGAAACAAATAGCAATGAGACAGTTTCAAAACTGATTAATAAGACAGTTTCAATAGTTAATACATTGTACATTGTTATTTTCTTAGTGGTTATCTATAGTACAAGATGCAGACAGGATATCCTGTCCAAACACTATTAGTACAAATCTTTCTTCTCATTGAATTAAGTGAAAGTAGCTGTATATCTATCCTAACTATTCTGTATATACAGATACAAAATGGTCTTTCCTTTGTATCCCCTTTTTTTGTTTAGTCCTGTCACAGATGGGTATTCCACTGGCGTCTAAATACTATAGGTGTTTGAATTCAGCAAAACAATCCAACACAGTCCAGCAGTCCACAATAGTAGTGGGTTATCCACAGAAGTTGTTGACTTGAGCCTTTCACAGCTCAGCATATTATATGATAGCCTTGGTTTCATGCTCTGCATTTTGCTCCCTGTGACCAGTACTAATTTCCTGGAAGAGGGCTGTTCTTAGCAATGATTGTAGCCATGAACTTTCCATTATTGGAATGTTAGTGTATGTACCCAAAATTAGTTTAACATTCAACAAGTACAGTATTTGAGTGCCTTTTATGTATTAAATGTCAGGCAGCACTGTGTCTTCTGGATTAAGCAAAATATAAGATATCTGTTCAGATGGAGTTAGCAGTTCAATAGACATTAAGATCAGTCTTGTAAGATCTAAATTTAGAGAATACAATTTACTGAGTCAGGGAAAACCCTTACAGAGATGAGTCAAACTGACAGTCAAAGGATGAATGAGTTAGGTTAAGGCACTTTGCTTGGGAGTAGGATAAGGAGTCTGGCAAGTTTAATAAACTGTGGCAGAAAGAACAGTTTTTGAGGTTAATATGGCTGGAGAGATTGGGTAGGGCTAGATACATGTAGGCCACATTATGGGATCTGTTGTGTATATGAGTTTAAAGTAACAATTGAAGCCAACATTATGTACAAAAAAACAGGACAGATGGCTGTGTAGCTTGATGAATTTCACAAATAGGCTTATGTACCAAGTGCTCAGATTAGAGAAGCAGTCTATATTACTGCTTTATCTCCCTTTAGTTTCCAAGCACTGTAGAACATCTAACACTATGATGTACATGTACCTTACATGTTTGGACATGGACTCATAATGAGTATTCTGTCCTCTTTCATTCAGTGTTATGTGTATGAGATTATCCATATATGTGTATCTTTTAAATTCTATGGCTGTGAATTCCCACTGTATACCTGTGAATTAAAGTTTATTTTCTTGTTGATACTTGGATTCTCTTTGTGGCTATTCATGAACTTTGTCTACTGTTTGATGTAAGAACTGCTGTCCAGAGTAGTGGTGGTGAACCTATGGCACAAGTGTTACTGTTTGTTTTTAGAACAAAAGGTGTTAATGTATGAGTTTTGGTTTTTTTTTCTAACCTAGAACCTCAGTATTCAGTTTTAATTGCCATGTCGGCACTTGGTGATTACTCTGCATTTTAGGCTGCAGTTTAGGCCCAAGTCTCTGAAAGGCTTGTCATTACCTGTCTAGGATATGCTGTATAACCAGGGGTGGAATTGCTGGGTCATGGAATATGTGCATCAGTAACTTTGTCAGGTAATGCCAAACTATTTTCTAAAGTAGTTATTACACTTTATAAGTTCACCAGTCCACTGAAGGAGTTCAAGCAGGGAATGATACTAGGTAACCAGAAGTAAGAAGGGATGTAGGACAACATGATAGAAAAAAAAATTATGTAAATCAAAAAAGAAAGATTAGTTTTCATTGGTGGCAACAAAAACTTGTAACTATCCAGTATCAGAATTGCAGTGGACAAAATAATAATAATAATAATAATGGGCTGGTGAGATGGCTCAGTGGTCTAAAGCACCTACTTAGAACAAGCTTAGCAAAGCACAGGGACCACGGTTCAATCCCCCAGCGCCACATGCCAGCCAGCTCTGCCCCCTGGTGGGCTGAGCTGGCCCCCCCCCCCACAAATAAATAAAATTTAAAAAAAAAAAGAATTGCAATGGACAATGTGTTAATTCTTGAAACTGTCCTACCAATTTGATTTGAAACTGTCTCATTGCTATTTGTTTATCCATAAAATTATGGAAAAAATTGCAATGGATTCTGTTCATTATTAGTTGGTTATTGCCAACTAGTGCTTTTGGGCATTGATGAGTAATTTATACTTTGTTTCTGTATTTCAAAACAAGGATTTACGAAACAAGACTGTTCATTTTCTTTGGAAAAATCCACAGACATTTCATGAATCTAGACCATTAGGGCTAGTTTTACTCAGAGATTACACAATGAAGCATATCCTATTCGCAATAGATTTTATCATAGTTGTAAGAATTCATTTGGGCTTATAGGAGTAATTTGGATTGTGACAAGTTCTGCTACAGTGAGAGCACCTCATAGAGGTATAATGAAAGGTAAGTTTTCGAACCCAGATGTTAAGAATTAGCTTCCTAAATCTCTAATATATGTTGGTATTTGATTATAGGAGTTGTCTAGGGGAGTGATTAAAGTATGTGTTTAGCATGTTCCCACTGGTTTGAACCACTAGTGGTACATGACTGGACTGTCCTGTTGGGGGCTTCTATGGCACTGGTAGTGCAAGTGGATCTAATCACTTTTGTCAGTCTTTTTACTAATAAAATTAATAAAAAGCTGCCTAGTGGGACATTCAGGCATGTACCACCAGGGGCTCAAGTCAACCAGCAGTACAACATGAATTACTGCCTTTTTGTGAATGTAGTAAGTTTGTTTAGGCTTCATGGTTTTTTGAGAGGGTCTTTTTGGTGATAGAACAAAATCTCTTGACAGATGTTTGTATGTGCAATACAGGTACTCACGTATGGTCACTTTGTAATGTAAAATTTGATAGAAATTTTATGTGAACCCGCATTTGTAGTCTGCTTAACTGTAGGTCAAAGGTAGCTGAATTTGAGTTACGAAATGTGATGACTGTTTCAGAATGATCATTACAAGCATTTTCACTTTATTTTAGAGTTTTCTCGGAGGCTTTTTTGGTCCTATTTGTGAGATTGACATTGTCCTTAACGATGGGGAAACGAGGAAGATGGCTGAGATGAAAACTGAAGATGGCAAAGTAGAAAAACACTATCTCTTCTATGATGGAGAGTCTGTTTCAGGAAAGGTAACCATTTTGTTTGGCAGTTATTACCTAGTTGTAGAATATTAGAATTAGTAATGAAAATGGTCTGTGCTCTAAATTTGAATGATTTTGTTAGAGATGGAAATTTTTTTCCCTGAAGGTCAGCTAAAATCTTTGATTGGTTAGAACATTTACAAAGAAGTTTCTTACCCTGGAAGATTGACTTTTAACTCTTGTTCTTGTTAAAGTAATATATATGTGTGGTAGACATTTTGGGAAATAAAATATGTATAGTTCTGTCATAGAAATAATTTACTGTTAAAAATTTGGTTGTGCTTCCTTGGTTTCTTTGCATTTGTTACTGTATATGTATTTGTGTTACAGTGAGCATCACTTGATGAAGGAGATGTGTTTTTGACAAATGTGTCTAGGTGGTTTCATCATTGTGCAGACTTCATAATGACTTACACAAGCCTAAGTGGTATAGCCAGTGGACCCTCGGCTATATGACATAACCTATTTAAAATTTATTTTAACATTATTTTTATTTTTTAAGCATTTTTGTTAAAAGTGACACAGATACATACACAACACAGGCCTATACAGTCAGGTTTATCAATATCACTGTCTTTTGCCTCCATGTCGGGTCTCACAGGAAAGCTGCCTTTGATAACATTACCTTCTGGAATGTTGCCTGAAGGACCTGCCTGATGCTGCTTTACAGTTACAATTTTTATTTTTAGTAAGTGAAAATTCACTCTTAAAATAATGCAAGTATAATTAATAAATCATATAATGTAGTTATTAACATCCACTATTTTACACTGTAAAGTAATGTATGTGCTGTATTTTTGTGCCTCTGGCAGTGCAGCATGCTTGTTTGCACCAGCATGGCCAGTAGTGCCTTGCAGTATTGTCATGGCCAGGAGTCACAAGATGATAGGAATTTCTTGGCCTTTAGAACTCCACAGGACAGCCATTGTGTATGAAGTTTGTTGTTGACCAAAACAGCAGTGTGTTGGAATATATGACTGAATACTAAACACACCTTTTCCTGTTGTTGGATATTTGAGTAGTTTATGTTATTTATATGTTTGGCAATATGGGCATAAATTTTTCTTCAGATTTATAGAATAAGATTATTTCAATAAAGTGGATTCCTAAAGTGAGTTTGTGGGTTAAAAGACGTATTTTGAGCATCTTAATACATACTAATTTGGAAAATTTGTGAGCATAGACTCACCTATGTTATCTTGTTTCACATACAGCAGCATTGACTGTTGCTTTGTTGCTCTTGTTGTTTTGAGTTATATTTGATCTTACTGTTTTAATTTACTTTTTTTGGTGACTAGATAGGTTTGATTCTTTTGGCAGGAATATAGATGGTTGGGATTTTTTTTTCCATTGGGGGTACATACTATCTGGTGTTCTTTCCCTCTTGCAATTATTGATGTTTAATACCCAAAATGATTTCATGTATCACATGTTGCAAAATAGGAATTATTTTCTCTCACTTTGTTTTTACCTACTGGATAGGATACACTTGTGTTTATTTGTTGTTTTGGTACAAATGGTATGAAAAAGAGAAGAAATGTTAGCTTCTCCCCCCCCCCCCCGCCTATTTGTGCTACTCAGGGACTTAGCAGGCTGAACTTAACAGTTGAGGCAGCAGTCTGATGTTTTGGATTCTTGTCTAGGCTTCTGGCTTGGGCAGAAATAATTTCCTTACAGCAAGCACTGTGATTGAGGTCCTGGTTTTCCTGTGCTGTTTCCCTGGAGCCACCATGTCGTTCCAGAGGCTGTCTTCATATTCTTGCTGCATGACTTGTTTCCCTCACAGACTAGTTTGCTTTGTCTGCAGAGCCAGTGGGAGAACAGCTCTGTCACATCCACCTTCTTTTAAAGGGTTACCAGGATAGAGCAGACCTACCCAGGGTAATCTCCTTTTTGATGAACTTAAAAAATTCAACTGAGTGGTAATCTAAATATGGGAGTAGATTCAGTGCATCCACCCATGGTCAGAGGGAGGCTCATGAAGGCTGTGTGCACCGCAAGCTGCCATAGGGTTGTGCTTCTGTGCTCAAGTCTTGGAGTTCTCTGTGCTTCATACTCTTCGTGCAGCTACATCCTTTTGACAAAGCTCTAGATTTTTTTCCCCCTTTGTTTTAAACTTTATTGGAGTATCAGGTAATTTACCCCTTCTAAGTATATTTTGAAAATTTTTGAAAGATGTATTGAAGTATAAAATTTCTTCATTTTTAAGGAACTTAAAATTTTCAGTGTATTTGTAGAGTTGTGTAACCATCAGCAGTATCAGAATAATTTTCACTATTCCAAAAAGAAAACATCTGGGGATATAGCTCAGCGGCATAAGTGCCTGCCTGGGAAGTGCAAGGTCCCGAGTTCATTTCCCAATACTGCAAAAACAAAACAAAAAAAGACCCCTTATACCTTTTATAGTTGCTTTCAATTTCCCCTCCCCTTGGGCTTTTGTGACCACTAATTTGCTTTCTGCTATATTCCATTTGAAGAGAATTATGTAATATTTCATCCTTTCCTGATTGGTTTCTTTTACTTAGTATAGTGTTTTCAAGATTCATTTGTGTTGTAGTATGTATTGTCTGTATTCCATTCCTTTTTATTGCTATGTAGTATTCTGTTTTATGGCCATACCACTTTTTTATATTGATCTTATGTGTTCACCAGTTGATAAACATTTGGAATATATCTACTTTTTGGTCTTTATAAATAATGTTGCTGTGACATTTTTGTGTGTATCTGTTTTCATTTCTCTTGGACACTTAAAAGTGGAATTGCCAGGTCTTAGGTAAGCTTTTACCTTTGTAAGAAATTGCCGAAGACCCTAGGAAGTTCTAATAGCTTCCTTGCTAATTGGCGTGACAAGATGGTCCAGAGTCCTGTACGCTATCTGCTTCTGACCTGGAATTGGCCATGTATTTCAAGACTGCATACTATATGCTATTAATACTCACTGCTATTTGGTCATTGTTGCTAGGCTTTTCAGTGGACAAATTTGGAAGGAGTGGCATTTTATATAATCTTCTATAAGATATGTTTATTCTTATTTATATATATTGTTTTATATAAAACATTTTAGGGACAATTATTTCCAATTCCATTTCAGAACTATGGAGCTTTTTTTTTTCTTTTTTCTTTTTTTGGTTTGTTTTTACTTAACCTCTTTTATATTTATCTCCTTTTATATTTTAGCTAAGAAACCTAGTTTTCACAGACCTGGGAAAATATAATAGGCATATCACATAATTTGCTCATTTATTTTATCCTACATTATATGAACAATACTTTCAGAATAATAATACTGTTACCAGTAACAGTCGGATCATAAAATGAGCTAAATACTTTACATATGCTGTTTTACTCCTGTTTCGTAAGTGTTCCATAAGTACTACATTGCCAGTACACAGTCGTTCTATGTAATGTGCTCTTTCTCTGAACCGTCATTTAGTCTTGGTTTGTAAATAATTATTACTACTCTCTTGTATCTTGATCTCTTCAGTTATTGTTTGTCTGATGGTTATCCTCTAGTTACTGCAGTCTAATAGAATTCTTAGGAAATGCTCATGTGAATAATATTATTGAAGGTTTTGCATGTTGGTAGGGCTTTTTTTGTGTCCTTTCTACTTGAAAGTTAGTCTTTTTTTTTTTTTTTTCAGAACCGGGGCTTGAACTCAGGCCCTTGTGCTTGCCAGGGAAGCACTTATTCCACTGAGCCATCTCCCCAGCCCTTGAAAGTTAGTCTTACTGAATATAATAACGTTGGCTTTCCTTTTTTAAAAAAATTAAGATTACTCTGTTGTCTTCTAGAGTAAAGCGTTGTTGACAAACCTACTTTGATTTCCATTATAACCTTTCTGCCCTGGTATCTGAGGGAGATCTTCCAGTCCCTCTGTTTCTTCCCCTCCTGTACTCTCTTCAGCACTGAGCATTGAACCCAGGGCCTTGCATATGCTAGGCAAATGCTTTGTGCTTTCATTAATTTTTTTTCTTTATAAATAATGTTCTTGAATTATAGTATTTGTTCCACTCCATTGATTTGGCCTTCTTCTTACGGGATTTTCTGTTTATGTTTTTGTGGTGCTAGGGTTTGAATACACATGCTGTGCATGATAGGCAAGCACCATAGCACCGAGTGGCAGCTGCAGCCTCAGGGTTTTGTTTCTTTTTTCTTTCGCTTTTTACAAACCAAGGTTTTATTTAGTATGAGAATTTGGGGGGCACTTAAGACCCACAACCTAACAAGTAGTTTATAAAAATAAAGTTATTTCTTCCTATTTTGATACTTAATTCTTTCATATGAGATTCTGTGTTACACAGAAGGCAAAATACATTTTTGAAATAAAAGCAGTTTTTCTATGAAAGAAAACAGATAAAGGGGCTGGTGAGATGGCTCAGTGGTCTAAAGCACCTACATGGAACAAGCTTGGCAAAGCACAGGGACCACAGTTCGATCCCCCAGCACCACATGCCAGCCAGCCCCGCCCCCTGCTGGGCTGAGCTGGCCACACACACACACACACACACACACACTAAATAAATAAATAAATAAGAAAAGAAAACAGATAAAAATGTTTCCCTAACTTCACCAGTGAAAGTTGTTGTCATCCCTGTTGTTTATCAAGTTGCTTGTGGACCCAAGCAGTGAAAGTAAAATATGAAATTGTATATTTACTGAAATCTAAAATAATATGCTTGAAAAATTAAAATATGGTAAATAGTGATATACAGGAGGCTGGAACTCATCAAGAAGCATTAGTGAAATGACCCCCTGTCCTCGGTGACCGAAAGCAACTTAGCCAGAATGCATATTGTGCCATTGGAGAGGAGCTGAACTGAGCCACTTTGGCTTCTGGCCAAATTAAAATGATATTTTTCAGTTGTTTTGCTTGAAACCAAACAATGAATGTAGATAAGATCAATTAATTATCCCTCCTATCTCTGTTGTAAAGAAAGCAACTTTTGAACATCTTGGGCCTATGTCCTAAACTCTTGGGAGACACATA